CAAGTGGACCAATAAGCAGCATCACGATAGATGGAGAAAAGATTGAGGATGTCAAGGATTTCATTTCACTTTGATCCACAGTCAAAATCCATGGAATTGGCAGTCAAGAAATAAGACAGTGTATTGCACGAGGCAGATCTGCTGCAAAAGACCTCTTTAAAGTACAAAGCAAAGATGCCACTTCGAGAACTAGGGTGTGTCTGGCCCGATATGCAGGTGAAAGCCGGACAGTGAATAAGAAGGACTGAAGAATTTATATTTATGCTTTTGAATTACATTGTTGGCGAAGAATATCAAATATACTGTGGACTACCAGAAGAACAAAAAATCCGTTCTGGAAGCACAGCCAGAATGCTCCTTGGAAGCAACAATGACCAGACTTCATCTCACATACTTGGTCATGTCAGAAGGAACCATTCCCTGGAGAAGGATATCATACTTGGAGCAGGTGGGAAGTGCTGGAACAGATGGAAAAGTGGTCAGATTCTGCATGTACTCAGAAAGCCATGCTCTCAGGGTTTGCTGGTGGCTGATGTGGGACCAAGAGAAGAAGGACTCCGGGGTCCTGTGGACGTCACCAGGGGCCAGCCAAAGACAGAAACCACACCGCTGTAGTTTTACCAGAGGGAATGTAATGAGAAGAGCGGTTCACTAGCGTGGACGGTTGACTTGGAGCTTGGCAAGACAATAACGTAATGACTAGACATGTCAGTACAGAAAAGAGACGGATAGACATTGATACTGGAATGGGCACCCATCCTGGGTCTGGTTGCTCTTGTAGGGTAAGGGATCTGATTTGATTTTGTTTGTCTCCAGAAAAGAGGAGAGACCATGGAGTCTGGCAGAGAGAGCACAGAGTGGCGACAGAAGCGACTGCAGAGGGGGTCAGGGTGCACTGAGTGCTGTGCAGAGGGATGATGGGAGACTGAGAGGGGGCGGGGTGTGCACCGTGCGGGCCCGGGTGTGGACAGCGTGGGGGGGGGGGGGGCAGGTTATGCCATTTCCCAGGGACTCTTTCCTGGGCAAGGGATCTGGGTCCAGGAGGTGATGACTGTTATATATGTGGCCATAGACAAGGCCAGTGACCAGTGACCAGCTCCTAACATGGGAAGCATGGTGCTGATTGCAAAGGTGATGGTGCAGCAGGAGTGTGGCCACGGGAAAAGCCTAGGTTGCATGTCAGAGCTGGCCCTGAGCTCGGAAGTCCTCCCAGGAACTGGGGGAGGATGCTGATGCCCAGACGCCGTCCAACAAGGTCACTAGTGGCACTCTGGCGGGTGGTGGCAGGGAGAGAACTAGTGGCAGATGTTTGGGAGGTAAAAATAAGTCCTGTGCAAACAGCAGTGGTGAGGACTTGGAGAAGGTGGCGTGCCTTTTTCAGAAACATAGCACTGGGCCTCTGCCACAGCTACTTTGGAAGTGCTACCCACTTTATTTTGGGCCCCGTGCGGCATGTAAGGTTAGCCTCAGTGACTCAGACTGAGACGCGAAATACTGGAAGTTACCAGTCACAGCACAGCTGGGACCAGCACTTGGGTTTTCTCCTCTCCCAACTCAGTGACCCAAACTACAACTCTTGCGACTGACCACATAAACGATGTTGCTTAGCTGAGTGGAGTCAGCCCTTGCCTCACGACAACCGCACGTGCAGTGGGGCAGTTTATGACCTTGAGTGTTGCGACAGGGCTGTTCTGTCCATCCCTTCACCTTCTCCCTGCCCTCGGTGCTCACCGCCTCTGACCTCTGCGTGCTAGAGTGTGCCGCCGGGTCCCCGTTCCACGTTTCCAAGGAACTGGGGCTCCTGAGTGGAGGGGGACAGATATCTCTCTGGCCTTCACGTACGGGTGCTTCCCTGGAGGACCTGCCAGTGCCCATGCCCGGTGCATCGTCCATGAGGATCGGGGGCCTCGAGCTGTGTCTGGTCTCACCCGGAACATGCCTTCACGTGCACGTGCTTGTCACTTGACGGGGGAAGCAAGTTCAGCTCCCACAGCGACGCTCCCCGGGCAGCTCTGTGCTCATTGAAGATGTCCCGCCTTCAGCACACTCCCCGGGTGCTGAGTCCAGTGGGGGCCCCACCCCGTGCCCTGAGCCAGGACCAGCATGAGCGGACAGACAGATGTCCAGGCCAGAAGGGGCTTGTCTTTGATGCTGCACAGATTAATGTTGGAAGAGAGACCGTGATAGGCTACGTGAGGCGGCGTTTTCTGGAGCGTGTCCCTGGCACTCGTCCCAGGGGACAGAGTTTTCACCAGGTGAGCCAGGTCCTCCAGTGCCTGTGTCCTTTGTCCACCCCACTTCAGTGAGGAAGCCAGCTGCCTCCAGTCATCGTCCCTGAACTCTGGAAGGGTCAGTGTTCTGCTGAGTGTTGGACAGTCTCATAAGCCATCTTACTAAACAGGCTATCGGATAATGTGTCTCATCTCCAGATGTAGGACCAGCAGACACACTAACGCACCGAGGACGCTCGTCTCTGGCCAGGACGTCTTCCTCAGTCCCTGCCCCGCCCCCGTCCCCACAGTGTGTCCCTTTCACAGCAGCCAGATGGGACTGGGGCTGGCGCATCATGGCCCGTGAGCCAGCAGAGGGCCTTCCCAGGCCAATCACGTGTGTTGCTCCTGGGGGCGTATCCACCTTCGGGCACCCGCTGCAGGAGAGAGCTCAGGTACAGCTCGTCAGGGAGCAGCGACTTGGCTCTGCTGCCCCCGGGCCTCCCTGGGCTCCTGCTTCCTGAGCACATGGCGGGCGGGCGGCCACCATACACGGCCTGGGTGGTGGCGCTCGCCCTTCCTGAGCGCACAGTAGGCGGGCACTGCACGTAGCCCGGGTGGTGGCGCTCTTCCTTCCAGAGGGGGAAGTAGGATGGTAGTGTCAGCCAAGAAAGCCAGAGCATCTGGGATCTGCTGTGCTGAGTCAGGCCTGAGGCCTTGATTTCTCCTGAACGTGGGAACTGTGAAGGCCACAGACACACACCACGCTCTCAGACACACATACTCACTCATTGCACACAGACACACGCACATACTGCACACTCGGACAAAAATACTCACCCACCACACCCACAGACACACACCACGCTCTCAGACACATGTACTCCCAACCCGTGCACACAGACACGCGCACACACTGCACTCTCTGACACGTACTCACATGCTACACGCAGACATGCGCACACACTGTACACTCGGACAAACATACGTACTGCATACAGACACATACATAGACATGCACACACACCATACTCTAGGACACATGTACTCATACACTATACAGAGACATGCACACACATCACACTCTCAGAAACATGTACTCACATCTCACACACATACCACACTCTTGTACACACACGTACTCACACACTACACATATAGACATACATCACACAGACATGCACACATGTGCATACTCACACACCACACAGACACACACACCACACTTGCACACACACGTACTCACACCACAGACACACACACTTACACACATGTGCACTCACACAGGCAAATATCACACACACAGACACGTAGACACATTCATACAGTCAAATGCACACCACACCCCTGTAGACATAATGTATACACACACAACCTAGACACATGTACACAGACACACACACCATACCCCACTCATATACACACATGACACACAGCACACACACATTTACATACCACACATCACACACAGAGACACATGTACACTGCACCACAACCCAAACACACACATGCACATAGCACAGACACATAACATTACACCACTCATGAACACACTCCACACATACATGTGTACATATGCACACATACATATAAACAGATTGCATGCACACGTGGACCCGTGTACACACCCAGGCACACACACAAGTAAAATCACTTTCTAAATCATCTGTGCCATGATCAGTAACTGGACTGGGTGTACCCAACCTCTTTGGGTAGCCTGGAGCCCCCCCCCCGCCGCCAATGCAACAGACATCTTCCTGAAGTTGGAAGTCGTTTTTCCCACGACTCCTGATATTCTTCAAGCAGCGGTGTTGCATTAGATTACTCATTTCTCGTCTGCCATTTTTCTTGTCTTAACACTAAGCCTCCTTGAGGAATAGGAAGCATTTAGTCTGAATGGATTTAGTGGAAGAGATAGGACATGAGCAGAGACTTGGACCTTCCTTCTTCCTTTCTGTGCTAAGAAGTCCGCTGAGCCCCGCCTCCTCAGCTTGTCAGTAGCAGGAAACGCCCTCTGGACTCTGAACACCATACTGTAACCCCTGCCTTTGGGGAGCAGGAAAAGCATTTCACGTCAGGTGTCACTAACCCTGCTGTGTTGTGAGCAAACGTGAGTGTGTGCACGGCAGTACGGTGCGCTTTGCCTCCTCTGATCCCCACTCTTGTCGTGTTTTCCTCTGTAGTGTGTGCCTACACCTGGCACAATGCTCATGAACTTGTCTCCCCTGTCCTCCCCTGAGCACATGCTCACGAGCAGGAGCACAGGCCTCGTAAATACTGCCACCGCTGGCCCAGCACTAGGACACGTGTGTCAAATGAATGGATGATAGGCCACCAGAAGAACCAGATGTCCTTGGGTGCCCTCAGGGGGCCATGGTGATGGGGCCAAGATGTAGGATATGGGGCAGCCCCTTCACAGCAGAGCCCAGGACTGTGCTCTGGGCCCCTGTCAGCGGACCCCTCTTGGACATGGAACTTCCGGGAGCCTGTGTGTCACTGCCTGGGTTGGACCCATACACTAGGGGTCCCAGAGGGCACTGGTACATAGATGTGGGGAGGGAGGGAAACTGGAGGTGGAGGCGGAGCTTCTCAGATGGAGATCATATGAGCGTTTGTCCTCCCCAAAGAGAGCACCGTCTGAGCAGGAAAGTTGCTGAGGGACCAGGACTAGCCAGCCCATGCCAACCCTCTCCTCCCTGGGCCTGAGCCTCGTGCCTTCCTTCCAGTCCTGTCCTTCCTGCCCCTTGTCTGATGGCCCTGACATCACTGACGTGAGCATGTGTCTTCCAGGATACCCGGGCGGCTGAACGACCGGCGGACACCACTGGGGGAGCTGAACTGGATCTTCACAGCCATCACGGACACCATCGCCTGGAACGTGCTCCCTCGGGGTGAGGGGAGGCAAGGGGCCCCAGGGAGGGAGCAGATGGGTGTGGGGCACTGAGCAGAGGGTGGCAGCCTGTGGGGCTCCTGTGAGGGCAGAGCAATCCCATCCACCAAACTTGGGATGGGCACAGTGAGACCAGGAGTGTTCGTTCTCATGGCCATTGCTCCAGGTCAGCACTGAGCTGTCCTACAGGCGGGCGCACGGCTCCTCATCCTGCGTGATCGTGGCCGCTCTGTTTGTATGGAACACATCTGCCGTCCAAGGACTTGGTGGTGGTTTTGTTTCGTTTATTGGTTGATTGGCACCCTTGTGATGTAGGGTATATATGTGAATGCATGTACAGGTGGACATGTGTGTATACATGTGTGCATCTAGATATGTACAGATGGGCACTGTGTGCATGGATACATGTGGACATTGTGTGTGTGTACGTACAACTGGACACAGGTGTGTATGTGTGTGGAAATAGCGTATGTGTGCACATAGGTACAGATGAGCATGTGCATGTGTACATGGATAGACCGCATGTATGTACAGATGGACATGTGTTATGCAGATGTGTGGACATCTGTGCATGTAAGTACAAATGGACATGTGTGTGTACAGACATCTGTGTATCTGTGTGATGTATGTACAGATGATCTCACGTATGTGTGCACGCACATACATATAGATGGTTGTATGTGTGAATAGATGGACATGTGTGTGTGTGTACACATACATACAGATGGCCATGTATGTGTATTGCCGGTGGGGAATATGCATATTGGTGCCAACATGTGTGTATGCATGTATATAAAGATGAACATGTGTTTAGATAGGGGTGTGTGTATGTATGTACATGTAGATGGAAATGTGTGTGTGGAAGGGTAGACACAGGTGTGTGTGTACACAAATGTACAGATAGGCATGTGTGGGTGGGTGGATAGGCATGTGTGTGTATGCATGTTTGTACGGATGGGTATGTGTAGATGGGCATGCATGTGTATGGATTGATGGGGGTGTGCACATACATACAGATAGGCATGTGTGTGTATATGGATGGACATGTATGGATGTGTGTGTGTGCATATGTACAGATGGACATGTGTGGATAGATGGGGGTGTACACGTACATGCAGATAGGCATGTGAGTGTATGGCTGGCTGGACTTATGTATGGATGTGTGTGTGTGTGCATATGTACAGATAGACATGTATGGGTGGATGAGTGTGTGTGTATACACCCATATAAATAGGCATGTGTTTGAATGGATGGACGTGTGTATGTGTGTGTGTGTGCATATGTACAGATGGACATATGTGGATAGGTGTGTGTGTGTGTGTGTGCGTACATGCAGATAGGCATGTGAGTGTATGGCTGGGTGGACATGTGTATGGATGGGCATGTGTGTGTGTGCATACATGTATGGATGGATGAGTGTGTGTGTATACACACATACAGATAGGCATGTGTGTGTGGATGGATGGATGTGTGTGGATGGGTGTTTGTGTGTGTGCATATATATACAGATGTTCATGTGTGGATAGATAGGCATGAGTGTGTGTGTCCATGTAAATACAGATAGGCATGTGTGTGTATGCATGGCTGAATGTGTGTATGGATGGGCTTGTGCACATATATGTACAGATGGACGTGTGTGTGGACGGATGTGTGTGTACACACGTATAGATAGGCGTGTGTGGATGGCTGTGCAGATGGGCATATGCGTGTGTGCGTATGTACAGATGGACATGTGTGGACATATAGGCATGTGTGTGTACACGTACATATGGCTACACATGTGGATGGATGGATGGATGGACGTGTGTATGGATGGGCATGTGTGTGCACACATGTACAGATGAATGTGTGTGGATGGATGGGTGTGTGTGCACATTTGGGTGGATGGGGGGGTGAGTGTATACACGTACATACAGATAGGCATGTGCGTGTATGGATGGAGGGACGTTGGTGTGGATTGGGAGGTGCATGTATGTGCAGATGGACATGTGTATAGATGAATGGATAGGCATGTGTGTGTGTTGCCAGTGGGAGATGTGTCTGTTACTCCCAAGTTGCTTGTGACAGGTCCCAGTGGGGCACGTTTGTGTCTTTGGCTGACTTCAGCCCTGACTCTGACCCTTTCTCTTTCATCTGCCCTCAGATCTCTTCCAGAAGCTCTTCCGACAGGACCTGCTGGTGGCAAGTCTGTTTCGGAATTTCTTACTGGCAGAAAGGATCATGCGGTCCTACAACTGCACCCCAGTGAGCAGCCCGCGACTGCCCCCCACATACATGCATGCCATGTGGTAAGTGCCTGTCCCCAGGCCATGCTGGGCCACATCACTTCCTCTGAATCCCATGTTCTTTGCCATTTCTGCAGTCACACAAGTTCAGCAGAACCGTGCTGAGCAAAGTAGAGAGAGGTAAGACTAACTCGGAGACCTAGGTTATGTTGACAGTGAGGGTGGCTAAAGCCTTCCCCCAAAAAGCTGGGCCAGCGGGAGCACAGGTTTCCTGCAGACATGGCCCAGCCTCCAAGGACTGTCCATGCTGCTCTGAGTCTCAGCCTGGGGGCAGGGGCAGGGCTGGGGCTTTTGTGAATGTGATCCTGGCCTTGCAGGGAACAGTTTGAAGACAGAATAGCCAGTGAGTTTATAGAGTGCAGCTTCACTACTCCAGGGCGTCAGAACCGCTGGCTATAATTGGTGTGCACGCTTTGCACACACGTCCATGTAATCGTGTATGACTGCTGATTGTCAGTTTTGCCTGTTGCTGGACCACTGCTCCGTATTCTGGCGGCAGCAGCAGTGACAGTACAGGCTGGCCTCCATCCAGATGTCACATCCGGAGACACTGGCTTCTCCCTGCTCCCCTGCTTTTCTAACCCAGGCGGAGCTGGAGGAAGTACTGCCATCGACTGACACCAGAGGACACACGAGTCATTGTAGCCGCCAGGGGAGAAAGCCGGTATCCATGCCGCGAGGGGGTGGGTGCGGGCTGAGCCTAGAAACAGTCTGGGCTGTCTGATGCTCCGGTTGGTTGGGCAGTGGGAGGAGCCTTTGTGATTCCCTCAGTGGTTAAGGGACGGACTCACAGTTTGCAGGTCCTCAAAGCAGCCTAGTCCCTTCAGGACAGCCCTGTCTTACGTCTTATCACCCCTGAGCCAGCCTTTTGTGAAAAGTCTGTTGTAAAAATGGAAAGAAGAGGGCAAATATGCTGAGGGGGACCAGTGCCATGTCTGCTCTTGTGTCGAAAACTAGGGAGGCAGCAGGAACGGCGCCACACTGGCTTCCCTGGGGGTGGGGCGCCTTACGGGGTGCCCCAGCATGGAGGCCCTTACATGGCGCTGGAGCCACACTGGGGGGTGCACCCCATAGGAGGAGGAGATGCCTGGTTGACACTGGCCACTGGCTGTCCTCCGTCCCTTGCCCCTGATGACAGGAAGTCAGTCCCGTGGCTCTCCTTCCGTGACTGCCTCTTTGGATGGAGAATGGCTGCTGAGTGCCAGGCTCTGCTGTGTGGAGCAAGCAAGGAGCTGTGCTGCGCTCGGTGAGGCTGCAGCCGGCGCAGAAACAGCGAAGGCACGCGGGCGGGGCGAGTGTCGGTGTGCGACGAGTGGCAGGCTCTCCGTCACGGCACCGGCTCGGGTTCGCAGAGGCTGGTTTTCATGTTGGCCTCCTAGAGAGTTCCTGGGTCCGCAGGCTGTCAGAGTGCTGTTTCGTGCGAGGTCCGGAGCCTGGGCATGCAGAGCCATCCACACTGACCCACATAACCCTGCCTGCCTCTGATGGCCCCCTCCCCAGGCAGCCTGGGGGCCAGGGGATGTGGCTGCCTTCCCAAGACACACGTGCCTAGGTGGTGACATCAGTTCACACGCTCAGGGCCTGCCATCCTGAGATCCACATCCCAGGGTGGTAACATCAGTCAAGGTGCCTGGCTGCCGTCCGAAGGTTGGAGGTTCAGTCCACCCAGAGATGCCTCAGAAGAAAGGCCTGGCAACCTCCTTCTGGAACAGCTGTGGAAGGCTCTGTAGAGCCCTGACAGATGCAGGGTCGTTAGGAGTCAGTTGGCTTAATGGCAGCTGGGTTTCTTATCCTCAGGATTCACATCCCAGTGACCTCATCAAGCACTTCCACACGGGTGCTTACTTGATGTATCTGAGGAGCATCAGATAACCAGTCCTCAAAGGACAGGTCGTTGAGTGTTGTGAGTCCATTCTGACCCACAGCGCCCCTAGAGGGCAGAGTGGGACTGCCCCACAGGGTCTCCAAGGCTGTCAGTCTTCACAGAAGCAAAGCCCAAACCACACCCACTGCCATGGAGTCCATTCTGACCCACAGCGCCCCTAGAGGACAGAGTGGAACTGCCCACAGGGTCTCCAAGGCTGTCAATCTTCACAG